CGAGGTGATGCTCACTGCCTCTCAGTTCTGGATTTTCTGTAAATGTGCATAAACCTTTCACAGGCACAGCCATCCTCCTCACCCATATCTCCAGTCACTACATAGTTCTGAGCATCCCCTGTCCATTTGTGGCCATGCATCCTGAAATGCAAAAGCTGCCACACAATGCTGCTGTGATTCATCATCTCATGCTCCATTGCCTGTAAAGCTGCTTTAAAATCTTCTGGCTGTTGTTAAAATCCCTGGTTGCAGAATTTCAAAGTTCTTTTTTTCTTTTTCTACAGAATAGAAGCAAATGTTTTTATCTTCCTCCATATTTCTACCAGTGGCTAGTGAAGCAAAGCACTTCAAAACAGGCATATGTTCCAGTTGCAATTCTAGTGGATAATTCATGGAGAAGTGAATAAAGACATAGCAGAAAACTGCTTGTTGCCAGTTCTACTCTGTAGGCTCCTGTTCCAGATTCTGCTTCTCTTGAGTAACTTTTTTTCTGTGCCAGTTATTTTTTGCTTTTCCTTGCTGGTATTTGAAAGTCTGAAGTTATGGTCTTCTCCTTGGCATTAATAAAATCCATTCTTTCTTCCATTTTAAACATCTTGGACTGTTCAGCACTGTTTTTGTTAGAGGAAGAAGTCTCTGTTTGACTTAATATGCAGGAAAACCTTTATGTGACTTTGGAGAGCAGTTGGGGAATGCTTTCCCAGAATTTCTTTTTCACAACTGCTTGCAGAACAGCACCAGTTTTTCTGGGTCAGTATTCTGACTGTATCCACTTTCAGCAAGAGATTACAGCTAGAATGAGGTTATTTTTTCAAAGAGAAAATTTAGGAAGGCAAAAAATATGTCAGTGACTTTGCGAGGTGTAGCAGGTGGGTCTAGCAGAGGTTAAATGGGATGTGGAGGCTTAATTGAAGGTTGGTTTTTTGACTTAAAAATGGACACGGGGACAGCATTGCAAGCTGCTGCAGATGAAGATTTAATCAAGTAGCTGTGATGAGCAGTGGTGGTGTGAGCTCAGTACCCAGAGCCTTCCTGTTGTAGGTGCTGCACAGCTCCTTGCAGCTTCCATCTTTGGTTAGATGAAAGCCAGGAAAACCACAGATAACCTGATTCTTCAGAGAAATAGAAACAGATCCTTGTGACTGGCTGCAGGACAACCAGTGGGAGCTAACAGCTGTTGAATGTTACCAACAAAGGTGGAGGGAAGCTGGGTACAAGTTCAAAGCACAAATAACGTAAATGTCTACGACATGTAGTTTATACATCTTTGGGTTTGTCATGCTTAATACAAGATCAAGTGCTGACAAAGGGCAGTGCAGAATGTGCACTGGGAATGAATAAATGTCAGAATGCCTCTTTCACAGGAATGCATTGCACTAGCTGTTCACTTCAGGAACTGAGTGACAAAACCATCTTGTTTGACCAAATGCACACTATTTTGTCTTTTATGCTCTAATTTATTCCCATCACGAGCTGGGAAGTCCTGCTTGGAGTGTCTATTTTCAGCATAAAACTGTTTGTCAAATTTCTATTAAGCTTAAGGTGAAAAATTAATGAGCCATTCACTTCAGATATTTCAGAACTAATACTGCTGTATTATTAATGCAGCAGAAAGTCAAAGACGTGGGTACGTACAATTATTGCTTGGTGTTCACTCAGACTACTTTTTGCTCTCTGTATTTTTGGGGGAAAATCATTAAAGCAGTGTTTTAGGTCATAGAAGGAATTATTTTGATGAATTCTGTCAGTAAGCTTTTTAGACAGTTTTAGTTGTTAACTTTTTGTTTTATCTGATCCTGGCAGAAGGTGCCTTGAATAAACACATATTGATGAAATATAATGTTCTTTCCAATCTTTCTTTGAATCTGGAATTTAAACAAAAGTGAACAGAAAGGTGATTCATATAACACAGAACTTAGAGAAATGCAAATAAAAGACTATTCACATAATACTGAGGAAGCTGTTTGTGAAGCAATATTTTTGGGCTAGAGAAGTATGACATTGTGACTAAAACTCTGGTTTTTTTGGTCTTGAGAAAGTGACTGACATGATGATAAAATTGTACTTTTGCTCAGAACTCAGTAGGGTATAGTGGACAGGTGTTACTATTAAATTCAGAAATCCCAGAGCATGTTGGCAGTACCAGTAATTTAAGTGTTGGAGAACTGTGAAATGCTGGGCTGGGGGAGTGTCCCAGGCTGAACAGTGTGGAAACTGGTGCCCAAGGTTTATGCTTGCATTGAAAAAGAAAACGTAAACCATAGTCACTGCAGAAGCAGAAATTCAGGCCTTGCTTTCTGTGCAGAAACTTTCTAAAGATTGCTTCTTTTTTGTGCTCCTAAAATTAACTCAATAGTTGATTACCGTATTTTCTTCCTCACTTTACAGTAAGTTCTCCAGGGACTTTCCAAAATTAATAGTGGTTCTAGGCCTGGCTCAGTTACATTGTTAGACTTGCACAGAAGAAGAAATTCTGCTTCTTGGAAGAGTTTCATGCTACAAAACTAAATTTTATTAGAAGCAAAATGGCAAATTTAAATTATCCTTCAAGCATTTGTTTTCCCACAGATGCTGAAGGGTTTGGCATCCCGCAGACAAAGTCCCAGCAAGAATCCCCAAGTTCTTTCATTGTGTTGATTTCTTTCTGAAGTTACTCTGCTCTGTTTCACTCTCACTACAGCACCAAGCCCAGGAGTATTTTAAACCTGAATGATTAGGCTTTAAATAGCAGCCCTGAAAATCTCCAGGTTTTTCAATGTACACTGGAGAGATTGGTCTTGGATGGTTCACTTTTGAAATCTGGTCATGGTGCACATTGCTTTCCTCAGCCTCCTTAACAAGCGGCAATTAATAAACGCCTGGCAGAGGGAAGGGAACTTTGGTTGTTGCTTTTTCTTTTTTTTATTTTTTAGTATTAATTCCACTTGTGGTTTTTTCTCTGTTAGAAGTTCGTCAAGTTTAGTTACTAGAGGATTTTATAGATTTTAGTTCTGGCAAAGATGTCAGGAGATCATCTAATGTAGCACCTTCCCTAAGGGAGGGCATCAGCCATATCTGCATCATTCCTGACAGATGTTTGCTCACACTTTTCTCTAAAAAGATTTCAGTTTAAGAGGATTTTATCATCTGCCTAGGCAAGTCTTTATGAATTCCTCCTATTAGAAAGTTTTTCTTCCAGGTAAATCTGCCCAGATAACTTAAAAATCTGCCTTTCTATATAGATTCTTTTTTCTTTTTCTCCTTTACTTCAAACTCTGTCTTCTATTGTGAAATGATTCATTTTTAAATATGGAGGGGTTTCTTGTATAAGTTCTTGAAAGTGAAGTGTTATCTTGAAGTGTATCTTTCACAGGTTATTCAGGTGTGAAGCTCAAGTTGGAGTAACTGGAGAAAGGAGAGATTTTTCTCATCTGAAAAGTTTTGAGCTTCATTGGCGCTGTAATACAGGCTGATGATTGACAAACACTGGAAAGAAAATAATGTCTCAATTGCACATCTCTGATGGACTTTTTGGGATTCTTCTTGAGTGCAGAAACACTCTCAGAGCTTGACCAAACTGATTTTGCTGTCACTTCACTGATGTGACAACTTCAAGAGATTTTTAACCCAGACCAACTTTGATGAGACAAAGCATTTTTTAAAGTTATATTTTGAACCAGCTTTACCTATTCACCTAAAAATTTGTTTGTTTCTTTCAAACTGTGCACTGATCATCTTGCCATTGAGTATTAAAGATGAAAAACACCTTTTGTTTTTCCATGATGAAATGATACAGATTTGGTCAATTTTTTCATTAGGATTAAAGGTGTACTGTAAAAAGTTTAAGAAATATCTAGTACAAAAAAACCTAAAAAGAATTTAGAATGTGTCTAGGCTTCTTGCTTTCTTTATATTGTGTTTCAGTAACAGTCCTGGTAGTAGTTTCATAGAAATTTATTTGAAACCTGCTGCTGGTTGCTGATGACTTCCTCCCCTTGTGCCTGCAGTGCCACAGAATTTAAAGGATGCTTTTGGGTAGTAAAGAACTCGATGTTGACAGGAAATAGAGAGTTTGTTTCACAGAGGTCTCAGGGAGAGGCCTTGTATTCTGAATCTCTGGTTGAAGGTTTGGACATGGTTCAGGAGGGGCAGGGACACTGTGAGGTTGTGTTAGAGCTGTGCCCTGCCCAGGCTGTCAACCTCCCCTCCTGTTCCATGGTGGGGTTTTCATCTCCCAGAAGTGTTCCTGCTTTCCATGGGAAGAGGTGATCCCCATATACATGTGAAATAACTGCGAAAACAGCTGGTTTTTCCTAAGTGTTTCAGAGCATCTGTGTGTGCAAAGTTAGGTTTTTATTTTTCCCCACAGTTCTGTCAGTTGGTCTCCCAAAATATCTCATTATCTCATCAGAAACCTTTCCATGATCAAGTGTTAGACAGGCAGGTGTATGTAAACTCACTTTTTTTTTTTTTCTGTTAAAGGGAGATTTTAGTACTTTGCATGAAACTGCTGATATTGAGAGGTTTGTGCTATGTCTGCTTAAGATGTTTCAGCTGTAAATGAAGTTTTCTGATGTTTTCTGATCCATACCTTTCTCCACTCAGTGTGTCTGTTTAGTACCTTCTTTTTCCATACCTCCTTCAGCTGTTCAGTTTTTACTTGAATTTGAAAGTTATCGCTGATCAGTACTTCCATTTTTCAACAGTTCCTTTAACTACACACCAATTTAATTTGTAGTGTTTAATTCACAATCTACTCTCTGCTCAGACTCATTTAACAGTTTCTTTCTTGTGGAACTATTGCCCAGATACCATAATACATACATGTAATTTTGTAGTACATGTTCTTGAAGAAGCTTTTAAATTTCTTTTTTCAGTATTATAAGCACAAAACAACAGCTGCTTTTCTAAATCAGTTGTTTTAACTTGTGTGATAGAGATTTGCATTTTTGTGTTCGGTTTATAAGGATAAAAATCTAATTTTCATTTACTAAATTGCTCTTCCCTTTCTGTCATTTAAGATGGAAGCTACAGGCAGAATCGACTGAACCTCACAACACTGTTGGTACAACCAATTTCTGCACTGCTTGCCAGAAAACTTGTTTCCATACCTGAGGACACTGCCCAAAGAGACAGGTGTACACCCCTCCACCTGCCAGCTGCAGGTAATGCTTTTCAAATCCACTTCACCTTTGGGATGTTCCTCTCAGACTCCAAATCCAATGTCTACAACTACACAACTAAGGTTTAGCTGATTCTGGGTGTGTTTTGCTTAGATGCTTTCTAGAAGAGGCTATGAACAGTCTAAAAATTCTGCTCCTAAAATCTGATAGATGGAGGCTGTGGTTTAAAAAAAATAGTAGAAGGCATTGAGCACTAATTCTTAATGTTGACTTAGAACCTCCTCTGTGTAGATGCCATAAGTAGGGAGGTTTGTTAGTGCTGCAGTATGGTTGTACTCCTAATAATGTGATTTTAACATTAAGACATCAGCAACTATATTATTCTGTGAGGTTTTTTTTTTCTGTTTCTGGAATAATAACACTTAAATTCTAAATGTGTTCCTTAATTTACATATGCTATAGAACAAACAGTGTGTTGTTACCTGAACCCTCAGGCAGCTTTTTCTCCCAGTTTCCACCAGGAAAACAGGCATCATGATAAGAACAAAATACCTTGAGCAGAGCCAGATGAATGCATTCAGAGTATCCCCCTAGAAATAATGCCATTAGCAAAGTCAAACAGATTATTGCTTGCAAAAGCTTATTGCTGATATAAGTTGATATAGGTGCTACAGTCTTCCAGCACAGTGTTTCCGCAGAAGAACATCTTCCAGAGAACATTCTAGATGAGGTGCATGTGTAAACAGTAATTCTTCAGTAAACAGTCTTCAGTTTTGTTTTTTACCTGTGCATCTTTCTCCAGAAAAAAAAAATGGTTTATTTTCATTACAAGCCCCATTTAAATGAATTGATTTGAAACTGTGGTCTTGGAAAGGAGGAGGCAAATTAATTTAGCCACTGTGTCCTGTGCTGCACGCAGTGATGATAACAGGAAAAACAAATTTTAAGGGCAACCAATGTAGTATCATGTGCTGTATCCCTTGTTTATTGCTTTTGGAAAGTTATTGTGGAATAGGAGGACAATACAACAAGTCATAAAAAAGGTTGATTAATTTTATGACTTGTGTTAGCATTTGTAGTTATACATACTAAAAAAGAAAGCAGAAAACCTCATGCTTCATTGGTTAAGCTGTTGTGGTTCGGCAGGACAATTGTTCTTCATGAATGGTTGACTAGATTTTTTAAAAATGAACTTTTAATTTTAAAAATTATTGTCCTCACAACCAGTAGAAAAGGGGAAAAGGCCATTTTGGAAGGAGCAAGGGCTTCACCATTCCAGGTAGGCTGCATGAAGCTTGTTAGTATTGAAGGATTTTCCAACAGCTGAAGTGCCTGGAGCAAAGCCTGAATTTGGGCTGGAAAATGACACTCATTTTAGAAAGATAAAAGGCTGCACAACGTCTGTTTCTCATAAAGCTTTATCTGGAGGCTGCAGGGCAGAATCACCCTAAAGGGCAGCTTACTCTACTTTTTCTGTGACAGGTGTGGCACGTCTGTTTTATTTCCCTGAGAAGACAGGAAATCTGTGGGAGGAGAATTTCTGGAAAGAAAGAATATTCCAAGCCAGAAATCTAGAGAGAGCCAGTCCATGACTGGTTTTCTCTGGGTAAAACACAACAGCTTGTGTGTGATTTCATGTAAAGCTTCTGAACCACAGTAAATAAAAAAATCTTTATTTATTAAAAAAATAGGGACTAGAAGAAGAAGCCTTGTATAACTCTGTAATGCATTATAATATATTTTTCCTTGAATTAATGTGAAGCTGTTGATGTTCTGGAGCACAGAGTGTGCTGTTGTTCCCCAGCAGCCTTAATGGAAGAGATAACAGCCTGGTCTCATGATAAGAAATGGTATAGAACTATTTAATACTAGTAATAGCTAAAGAGATAATGCTGAGGACAGCAATTCATTAAAGAAGAGCAAAGGTTGAATTTGCAGTCTTCCTGTTGATTTGAAGAAGCTTGAGAGAGAGATTTCACTTCTGACGTGGGACTCATCATTTATCTGTCAAAAGAGGTGAATGAGCAATTCAGAAGATTGGTTGGCTTGAAATTTGTTAGGATAAAATGATTATCATTCTCTCATCATTATGTTTCAAAAAGCTGAACAGCAGATTCATCAGTAATGATTAAACATTTATATATAGTTTTCTCACATTGCTGCTTTTTTTCCCTTAGCCTTGCAGTTTTCAAGAGACAAAATGTGACAGAGGGAGTGGGAGGATGGAGGCAAACATCCCACACAGATTGAATGCTCAGGACCTACAAAGCAAATAGTGGGAATTGAAGTCAGCTGTTAATTTAGTGGTAGATGAAGTCAGTAATTAGATTTGCTTTTTGTTTGGTAGGGTACATTATTGTTAATCCTCATTAATCTGAAATTCTGTGCTCCCATGAACTTTTTCCTAAAGATAGGCAATTAGAAGGAATTTCAGAGTGAACTTCTTTAGAGAAACTGTAAACTTTTGAAGCTTTTTTTTTTTTTTTAACAAAATCTCACTAGGATATTTGCTGGAACATTGTGAAGGTTGTTGTAAAACTAAAGCACTCCTATAAACATAAATGAGGGAAGTCTTGCTGTGTACTGCCTTTGTTGCTGTTAAGTTTCCCACTATTTGGGAGATTGCAGTAATGTACAAATTACCCTTTTTCAATTAAACTCTTGAGCATTTAATGTAAATCTATCTAATGGCAATTAATATACAAAGTGGTTTTTGACACTAATGACCATATACTTTGGTTTGAATGGAAATCCTGGAAACCTGCTATTTAAACACATCACAGAGTTATGGCTGTAATTTTCCCCCTTGGTTTTAAGTGTCAGTTTTCATACTCAACCTGATAAATGTCTGAAAAGAGAGAAGGTGAGAAAGATCCAGGATTTCAGCAGTGATCAGTCTCCAGGTGTCTGGGGCTCATCCTGTTCTGTGGCTCATCCTATTCTTCCATTCTTCTCCACATTTATGTTGCTGGTCACTCTTGGAGGGACTGGATGGTCACTTGGTGTGACCTGGTATGGCAGCTCAGTTGGCAGGAAGTGTAAATGCAATGATCTCACTTAAACATCCCACTTCTTACCACCTGCTGATGCCTTCTCCTGTGCAATAGGTGTAATTTTTTTATGCTTTCACTTCTAAAATTAGGAAGTGAAAGGCATGGCATGAATAGTTTAAGTAACCTGAATGATATCAAACACTGTGTGAATAATAGAGCCAGGTACACAAAGACTCCCAGCATTCTGCTGCAGACAGTAAAATTACTCAGATCAAAATGCTTTTCTAGGTAGAATCTTTTGATCTTTTGTAACCTTTTTTTAGTCTACAAAATACAGTCACTGATCAATAGTGAATCATCACAATGACTGCAGTGCAGAGCTCTGTTGTAGGCTGCAAACAAATCTACCTCCTCTGACAAAATGGGTGAGTGGAACAGATAACCAGAATTGACTGGTACTGGAAAGGTTTGCAGCACAACACAATTTTTATGAGACTTTGAACATCTATTTTATGTAGTTCCACGTGTCAGATGTTCATTATACTGAGTTTATAGTCAACTCTGATCATGTGAAATTTGAATCATTAATTATACAAAAGGAATAATTGGAAGAGTCTGTTGCTTTCCATATTATACGATTCTCATCCAAGATAAATAAAATTCTCTGCCAAGTGTTGCACTAGTGCAAATCAAGCCTGTCTTCTTTTCAGTCAGAGGAAGGGCATGGAGTGATAAAGTGAATGTCTTCTCCTGTTAAACTACAGCCTTGTGATAATATTATATGTGTTTCTCCTTCATAGTTTGCTACCTGTCAGAGAAAATAAAGACTCCCATATTTAATAAACTCTGGCTGGGCCATCTCACACTGTGATATCAATATGCAAACAATACCATAATTTCTGGGTACTTGGACTATGCTAAGCATGAATCCAAGGAAGCAAATAGAGAGAGATGCCAGCAGACTGTGTGGTAGTGCATGTCACTGTATCTATCAAATCTGGAGTCATTGTACACAACAGTAGAAATAGAACAGAGTTCTGCAGATGTCTCTTACTGGCATTTCAAAGAGGAACAAGTTAAATAGGGAGCTCTGATATAGATATATGAAAAGTTACAGACATTTATTCCAATACTCTCAGATTTTCTTTTCATGGTCACTTTAAATTCTGTTCATTTTTTAAACAGAAGTCCATGAGAAGAATTAAGCATGAACAGTGTGAAGCATTTTTTATGTATCTTCCCTCTACTCCCAGCTGAAGCCTAGAGAGTTTTTCTACCAGAATTGTAAATGATCAAGATATATTTTCAGAATTCTCTTCTGCTCCAGTGTTTTCCTGTGTGATGCTTTGCTTTTGATTGCTATAAAGCAGGTAAAGAATGAAAGTAGTGTGAGGTTATGAAATTCAACTCTACCATCAGAAGCATTTTCAACTCTCTTTGATGTTGACTGTGACACATTTATTCTGTATCACATTAGGCCATCCTAGTTTAGAGCCTTCTTAAAGGACTTTATTCTAGGCATTTCTTATTTCAAAAACTCTTCATCTGAAGAGTTTTATTTCTGGATTTCTCATTGTAGGTCAAAAAAGATGATCAAATACCAAGGCGTTTATTCATTAAGCTCTTCATACTAAGATTAGATTTGGAGACTCAAGATCTCTGAGTATTTGTTCGAAAAGGAGAATATGTTAGTAGGTAACATAGTTGATTAATCAAATAGAGATTTATTAAGGAAAAATATTAGAGATATCAGATTTATATGGTGTATTTTTTATACACAAAAAAAAAAAAGTGAAGGTTTTTCATTACAAGGACATCTGGCTAGGAGTTCTGACACATTCCTGTACAAATAGTTTTATACCTCAACAAATACCGCACATTTCATAGATTCAGTATTGATTTTTGCATATGTTATTTTATAGTATCACACAATATTTTTCTGAGATAATATACATTGCTAAGTATTTACTATTTTATATTTATACACTTTTCTTTGTATGCCATGTTGCATGTAGTGTTTTTTGTAAGTGCTGCTGTTACATAAATGTGTGATGATTATATTTCTTCACCTAAAGTTCTGTGTTTGAACTTGAAAACTGATATAAAATATATGGTAAGTAAGATTTTGCACTCAAACTGACATGATCTGTCAAGTGCAGTTTTATGCTGATTACTTCAGCTCAATTAGTGTCCTCAAGTCATGTGAGCATGGATGTTTGATGATATTTGAAATCTCTAGTTCAGTTGTGATTTCAGACAGGTTCACATTTATTCAGGTGTTGATTTCAGCAGGAACTATCTCAAAAACTGCCTTACTGCATTACTTGAAGTTATTTAATGTACTTAATTTCAGCTATTTCAGTCTACTGAAATAGCTTTGGGTTTTATGATCCAAGAGTTATTCTGTTGAAATCCTTAAATTCAGTTAATACTTAATTTTTCTATACTTCAGTTAAGTGTGCATGTAGAGAAATTTTTTCAGTGGTTAGCAAAAATCTTGTCAAATGAATTCAGTTTTTCAAACCTGAGTCCCTAAAGATGCTTTTTAAAATCCAGTACTCAAATGCTCAGAAAACTGTCTGATGATAGGTGTTTAGCATGATCAGGATTCAAGAATTTAACCAACATGTTTGAAAATTAAACTGAAACTTATACTCCTCTATACATGAGCTTGGGATAAAATTAAAAGAAAAAAAAGAAAAAAATGTAAAAAATTAAACAAGCCTAACTTATGTTCTTTTAACATAACTACTGCAAATAGGTTTTTCACATCTGAAGTACTAAAATTGTCCATCAAATGAGAGGAAAAATAGCCATGGATTTCTAAAAAAATCTATGTAAATGTCAGAGAAGGTAGTCATTTGGTATGAGACAATTTAAAAGTTTCAGGTCAGGAAAGAAATAAAAAAAAAAGATAACAATAAATATGTTTGTGTTCTTCTATCCCAGAAGCAGCTTTTACCTTACATAAAGACAGTGTATCCTGAATAATGTTAAGGTAAAGTCTCCTCAAAGCTTCCCAGGGAATATAGGCAAAAAAAAAAAGAGAAAGTTGTCAAGATCCTTAAAATACAGTGTTAGGACAAGAGGTTTGTTGTCAGAACTGTTTAGAGGGGATTAAATTTTGTTTCTGCTGTATACTCCAAAGAGCAGTTTCAGCCTTTTCATCTGGTGCTCTAAGCCTTTAAGCCCAAGTCACTCTAAGCTGACTACTGTGTTACATGACTATTAACTGGAGTATCTGATTTGAGAATATGGGCATTGCCAGAAGTTGATTTTCTGTGTCTTTATTGTCAGTTAGAGACTGGATAGCTGATGTTGATTAAGGAAAAACAGTGAAGTCAGTTGTCTTCAAAAGGATTTATTGTCTTTTTGTCTGAGAAGAGGCCTAAAGGAACAAACATCTAAAGTGTTGTAGGAAAAGGAAAGGAAATCAGTTTTGACTTTAAAATACTTTTTTTTAAGAAGAGTAAATTGGCTCTAGAATGGTTTTAGGTGAGAAACAGCAGCAAGAAGTAACTTGCATAATTGAGGTTAAATTTAAGCTGCTTAATCAACATAGATGGCTTGAGCTGTTTTCACTTGTTTTAAAAGACCCTTTGGGAATCCTTTGGACTATTTTTTTAATGATTTTTTTTTAAATTCTAAAATAATATCTGTGGATTTATTGAACAAAAAAATTAATTTACATGGCATTAGTAATAATTTTAAAATACAGTAACTTACATCAGAAGAGCAAAGTTAATTATGTGACAAATAAAATTATTAACGTGCTGTGACTGATTGTTGCAAAGTCATGTGCCAGGGTTATTTTTAATTAACTGCTTGGTTTGCATTTACACTGGTTTGTTCAAGCAAAACCAGAACTGTCATAGAGAAGACACATCTGTTGATAACTGAAGAGGTTTTGTCTGAATAAAAAATAGCATAACTATTGTTAATTCATTTTTTAAACAAACACTAGCAGTTCACTTTTTTTTTTAAATACCAATGAAGACAAGTGAATTAAAATATATTGTATTTTAAGAACATTTTGAAGTAAATTTACTGTATGAACCAGCAAATGAACCCTGAAGAACAGTAACCATGTGTTGTTTCTGTTTCACATGTTGCAGTAAACTCCCCACTTGCATATTCTGTGCACCTCAGGAAACAAAGCCTGGGAAGAAACTGTTAGCAATAGATCCATGGGAGGATAATGGGCTGGGACATGGAGAGCAAAATGATCTGTGGAGTGTTTTAATTGTGTTCTGTGGCAGTAGGGATATGGACATGGAAGGAATTGTGTCCCAGGGATGCTTCAGGAACAGTTCTGCCACAGGGGTGGAGCATTCATGGATGGAGCAGAATCCCCTGCTCAGCCACTGCTCATTGTCACACTGCTGCTGCTTTTTGAGTTCAGGCAGTGTAAGACATTTTCATTTCTCTTGGATAGAAGTTATGGCCTTGCAGATGAGCTGGATGTTAACACATCCTGTTTTCATATTTGGAAGGTGTCAGCAGCTCCCCATGGTTGGTTGTTTGGTTTCCACTGTCACGAACTGCCGGAACTCCTGTGGTAACTGTGTGCCACCTTATTTTAATCTATTTAAACCCAAGATATTTGCTCTACTCTGGCTTTGTTCTCTGCTACAGTCTCAAATGGCATTGCAGTACTGGGAAGTTCCTTACATTTTAGGCGCTTTTGAAATCGTTCTGCCTTTGTGTTTGCACCATTTCCTCATCTGATGCCAGCTAGGCCAAAAACCCTGGCTTCTGTTGGCACATGTTCACAAGGACATCACCAAAGGCTGTGCTGGCAAAGCTGTGGGGAGGTCTGACTGCTCACATCTAACACAGGGCTTTTCTCCAGAAGAAAATGTAATATAAACCAGGTATAATTTTGTGAATGTTATTGATAGATTGACCTAGGTGAAGGATTATGTGAGAAAAACCTGTGAAGTTTAAGGCAAATTTTTTTATCACGGAGTTATGTAAATCCTACTCTTATAAATTTTCTGTTTCTGTTGTATTCTGGCAGGATTTAGTGAGTGAATTCAATGATCTTTTAACTCAAGGAGTAAAGATTCCATCTTTGAGATTCCATCTTTTGAGATTCCATCTTTGAATCATGCTGCTAAAATAGGTCGAGAAAATAATGTCGTATTTTGTGTTTTAATCTGTGGTTCCTATTCAGGTTTTTTTTTTTAACCCCATTTTAAATTCTTTTTTTTAATGTGTGTGAAATTTATCTCTTTGGCCTATACATTTCTTGGCTGGGTAAATAAGTTCAACATTTTCTCTTTTTTTTCATCTTTTAACAGGCAAAAAAACAATCAGTCTGACCATTCAGTCTGTCACAACTTTCAAGACAATTTCTAATGTCATTGGATATCTAAAAGGAGCTGTATTTCCTGGTAAATTTCCCTTTGTCATTTGTATTGATTATTTGTTTCACAATGGGTGGGAGTCATAGCTGGGATCAGGATACTATTTTGCCAGATAATTCACTATTACAGAGGAGAGAAAAAGACTTTTTTGTACTCATTTTGTGGTTTGTGACAAGACAGAATATGAGGGTTACATAGAGAATGACCTGAAGGGGATATTGTAGTTACAAAAAGCATATTTTTACACAAGCAGCGGGTGTTGCACATGCAGCACAGAGAGTATCAGTAGTTTGTACAAGCAGCTGTTTAATGGTTTTAATTTTAATATGGTTTTAACACTTGCTGCAGCCTTATTTTGTGTCTCAATCATGCCTTAAGCTAGTTTTATGCAAACTATGAATAATAATTACGGTTCTCTATGTGTGATGGTTGAACAATGGAACTCTAAATGCAACTGGGACATAAAGCACAACCTCCCTCTGTCCTTTGATGCTGTACAGAAATAATGTTATCATCAGGATATCTTAAGATCATTTGGAGATTATTTTGTTAGTTAGTGAATTTACCTTAAGGATGAAGGTTTTCTGCAACATGAATGAATGCTGTTGCTGATTATTTCAATAGTGCAAACAATTCCTAGTATGCAGATGATGCACAAACAGCATCATATTTGCCTTAATGCTCTTATATTAGATTGTGAAGAAAGGATGGAAATTTATTTACAGTCCCTTAGGGGATAGGCCAGTCATTTCGTATTTTAAGTAATGGAATGAAGGAGGTGGAGAAAATTTTATTCCTGTTGGTGAAATAACAACTCAGTTTTGTGCATGCAGAACTGTATACTTCTCACCAGACTTTTGGCTTGTTTAAAGCAACAGAGGAAGCAATTAGCACAGTGAATTTAATTTCTATGAAGGATTTTATTTCCTTAATGAATTTGAAGTTACCAGTCTGCTATTATTAATGTTTTGCAAATAGTTGTCATGGAGTTGGAAAGGCAGAAACTGCCATGTTTAGACATTCCATCTCCTGAATTGTGAAACAGAGGCAAGAAAAAGAATAAAAAGTGTGCTTCAGTTTCTGCTTAACAGGTCTTCTATCTCCTCTGTACCTGAACCTTTCATCTTATTATTACATTTTTAATCAAAACTACTTTTTGGAGGTTTGCCAGTATGTGCTGAACTTCAGGTATCCAAGGAGATTTTAAAAAGTGAAATCAGCAGCAGTGCCCAGATGGCAGCAGTTTGGATGTCAGGCTCAACAAGAGCCATAACAACTGTCTTCTAGTGAAGGCACAAGTTAAATGTCTAATGCTCTGTAATATTTTGTACACAATCAATGTTAAACCTTTTTTTCTCTCTCCACTCTTCCTGGTTGACACTACAGTCATTCCTCCTCAACTGCTTTGAATCTGGATATTTTCATGGCATTGATTCTCTGTCATTTTGATGGGGTTTTGCTCATTTCATACGCATGAAATATTCACCTTTATGTTCACAGAAGTGCAGAAAGAAGGCAAAATTTATCTTTAGTGCTTAATGAAAGACTGCAGAGCATCACCAAGGGTGGAATTTATTACTTTTTGCTTAAAGACCACCAAACACACACATAGAGACAAGCACATCTCTGTAATGCTGATGTTAGCTGGCATTTGATATGAGGAGTAAGAACGAGCATCTGAAGTGTAACTAAGATGTTAAAATCATTAGGAGTAGATGAAATGTGATAGTTGGTGGCATTTTAAAAACCAAAAAACGTAACACTGATTTTATAGCTCTGTTGGACATGGTTGAAGATGGGATGTATAACAAGAAAATATAAAGAGAGTCTTTTTAATGCTAAATCCCTGTTTTCCAGCCCATCCCTAACCTGAACACTGCCCTGTTTATCATCTTCAAGTATATCTGATGGGTATTTTTTTCTCTATCTCCAGTCCTTTCTCTTTTTTTCATTTTTGCCATGTTGTTCTGAGAAAGGACAGCTGCTGCCTCTGCAAGCATGACCATCCTTTCTCCTCTGCTTTTTCTGCAGTCATTTGCTTTAGGGTTCTGCCTCTGTTTGAGGGAGAGATGTGCAAATGAAGAATTTCAAAGGAGGCACCAGCTGTTATGTTTTGCCCCTGCTCATTCAGCTGCCATCTCCAGCAGCAAGTTGATGCTTCCTTCTCAATTCAAATATCCTGTATTATTTTAATAAGGTGTCTCTCCTCTCACATGGTCTGTTCACAGGCTAAACAGAAATTATTACACAGGCAAGCACAGATCCTGCCTGATCCCCCTGTGTTAGTGGCACTTCCATTAATGACCTAGAGGCGTGTAAGGCCATTAATTTTGGTTCCTAATTCCTGTCATTTAATGAGTTGAAAATCCTATGTTTTTTTCATTGTCAGTGCAACCTATAATTAAGCGTATCATGGTGCAGCACACAAGATGCAAAATTATATGATTTAGATTTCATTTTGTTACATTAAATTATTATGTAAATCTAGGTTGACACTTTGCATATCTGTTTTTAGAAAGGAATTCTCATTTCCATACCTACACACCCCTAAAGCTGATTGAAAATATTGTATTACAGGTACATAAAAAATCATCTCTTTGTAAAGCATTTTTGATTCTTTATTAAACAACATGTTCAAATATTTTGTTGAACAATGCTGATGAAACTCCAGTTTGATAGAGAATGCTTTTTTAATCAAAGTGTTTTATTAATATTCTTCCCAGGCAGCAGTCACTGCAAAACATACTGAGTAGATATTTTAATTTTAATTTTATGAGCAAATACAAGATGTGGGCAATGTGCAGTAATCTGTTGCTGCATTGTGATGAACTGACAGCAGGTGAATGAGTTCACATGGTTAAAGAAAGAAAAAGAAAACTTTTCCACTTTTTGGAACCCAGATGACACGCAGGAGTTGCCGTGGTTCTGGCATCACTGTTTTCACTGCTGGTAACTGGTCTTATGTTTTCTATTGATATCCTGAAATAGGAAAAAAAAAACCACCTTTAAATGTCTCGATCTGGGCCAGATGGAGACTTTACAAAATATCAGAGCAAAACCAGTAAACAATCCTTCAAAGACGGTTGTGAATTCATCTCACCCAGAAGGTCTAATAGTTTAATAGCTCAGTCAGAATAACTCTGCTTGGACTTCTTGACCGGCCTCAGTCACACCAGTCAGTCATGTTATTTAATGTGATATATCCCATCAGTGGTTGTGGGGTAAAATAAGGGGGTTTTTCTCCCTTATGAGTGGTATTAGGGTTACATATAATGCCTTGAGAGATGAAGATTGAATTTTATTTCTCTGGAAAAAAAGTGTGTTTGTTTTTTGGTTTGTTTTTTTTTCTTTTTTTTTTCAGTGAGTAACCATAGGCATATTTTTTATTTCAGGCTGAAACTTCTTGCTTTTCATTCTATAAAATGCTTTCTTCCAGCATTAACACAGCTGCTGGTGTGACTTACCTTATCTGTATCATTCATTATCTCTACCCCTCTGTCATGTCTCCTCTCCAAACCTGCAGTCCAGGTATTTTAATGTCTCCTTCCACATAAGGCTAAATCCTGATCATCTCTAATCTGCTTGCCGGCTGCTCCACTGCTGTTTCTGCCATGTCTTTTTTGAGATAGGGTGATGAGCACTGAACACAGTCTTCCAGGTGAGGGAGTACTAATACTTTGTGCATTTTCTTTGTTTCCTGCTGCACTGCCACACCTTTTGGTGTTTTGTTTTTTGGTTGGTCTGTCTGTTGGTTTGGATTTTTTTGGGTGCTGAGGTTTATTGAGGATCATCTCCTGCTTATTATTTTGTGGTTTTTTCATAACACTCTGCTGTGAGCATGATTGTCTATAAAAAATGGTTTATATCACATCTATAAGGAGAGCAGTAAGTGAACAAGAAAGGCAAAGGTATGGGGATTATTTTTGGAAACTGTATACATGTATTTATTCACTAGTTCATTTTTAAGTAGCACTCACAGTTTTGTGTATAATTGTTGTATGATTGTCTTGCATGTCATCACATACTTTTTTGTTGACAGCTTTGTGTTGTGTTAATGACATTACACACTACTAATACAGTTAATTTTCAGGGTTGTTTGGAATTCTTTTAATTTGAGTATCCAGAAAAAAAAATAAAAATTGTTTTTTGGGTTTTTTTATTCCTAATTTCAGACAGATACGTCATCATTGGCAGCCACCACAGCAGTTTGCAGGGCTATGGTGGGCAAGGCTGGGCCAGCAGCACTGCCGTGACCACAGCCCTGCTCCAGGCCCTGATGGCAGAGGTGAGGAGGGGCTGGAGGCCTGACAGGACCCTGCTCTTCTGCTCGTGGGGAGGAACAGCCCTGGGCAACGTGGGCTCCTACGAGTGGGCTGAGGTAAAGCTGCTCTCACTGCAGGGAGGGTTCCTTCTGCTGAAAATACGAAATTACCACGTGGAAATTGTGGCTCACCAGCTGCCCTCTGAGGTCTGTCTGTGTCATGCATGTGCTGCACAGCCAACACAGGGAAAACATCTCTTGAGGCATTCCTGGGGTAATGAGGGCCAGGATGCTGCCATGGCTGTGGAGGTGGCACATAGAGCACCCTTGGGAGCTGCTTTCCCTCCCTGGTGCAGCACAGCTCTGTAAAAGGGCATTGCCAGGGTTTGACAGAGCAAGGAAAACCTCAAAAAACAGCAGAGGCACAGAAAGAGCTTAGAAAGCTTTTTCACCTTCTTGAGTGTTTAATATTTAATAATTTTTCATCGATCAGGTTAGTGTGGAGAGAAGTGAATCAAGAGAGAAAGAAGAGAACCATGCTATGGTTTACATGAATTAAACAAACCTAGCAGTCTCTCCATGGCTAGTGCTGATTCACTTCTCACAGGTCTGTGCTGAGGAGTTGGGCACAATCCCAGACAATTCCTTGGGCTCTTACTTTGAACAGAATGGGAATCAGCTGGTGAAAGAAAATACCTCAAAAAGTATTGATGATCATACATGGCTAAAGTAGACTTCAGGTCATAAATTAAAGGAATTGCTATGCCTCTAGGCAGAGAATTTCATGGCTGCTTTTCCAGCTCTAATGGTTCAATGAATTAAAACAGTAGATAAAATAAAGGGTTAATTGCTTTTTACCGTGCATAAGAAGCAGCCAACCCTCATTGAAATTTCATACTTCCAACATGATTATTCTTCAGAAACAAGAGGGGGTGAAAAAATCAAATTGAAAAGATCCAGGCTGGAAGCAAAATTTGTTTAGTTCCACTTCAAGTCAGCTTTGCATCAGATGTAATTGCGTTACACCCCTTCTGTTCAATATAAAGAGCCACTTCATGCAAAGAGGAACTCATTACTGAGAAGGCAAAGGGGATCCTTTTAAAAAAGAGATAATAATTGAAACAGTTTGTACATGCTATTTTTATAGTCTAAAATATAATAAAATGAAAACACTGGGAAAGTTATGCAATTCAAATCTGAGTTTGGTCTCTGAATGTTTGAGTCCATTTAACTGTTGATAATGATTGCTTTTGAAGTTTGTCTTCTGTAAGGCATAAGTTTAAAAGGCCGTCGTGTTGTTTCACAGTGTGTAATGTTTTCATTTTTGGCCTTACAAGTGTAGTAATTTTTAATTCCTCCCAGACCTGTTTGCATTTTCTTTAGATGATGTGTGAAATGGAATTATAGCTTTTGCTATAAGGAGAAATAGCACTGAGATATCCTTTGAAGTTTCCAAGAGCATATTGTGAGAAGCAGTAGTTAACTAATACTTGGGGAATCACAGAGGATGGAAATGTAGGGTGCAGTTTTCCCCTAGAAGCAGCCAAAAGAACAAAAACAGCCTTAATTACAATGATGCAGGGTAGTAACCATTTTTCTGCTTGTGTTGTAGGATCTCAGGAGCGTTCTTCAAAGAAATGTTGTGGCCTACATCAGCCTCCATAATCCAGTTACAGGCAACTCAACCTTACGGCCCGTGGCATCCCCTTCTCTTCAGCAGCTGGCAGCAGAGGTTAGAAATAAAATATTTAGTTTCACTTGCAGTTTATGAGGTTCCATGGTTAAGATCAGTTGGCATTACACAGCAGTCGGTGGTTATTTCATTTAAGAATTTTAGCCTCACAAATACACATGAACTGGTTTGTTTTTTTTGAAGTAAGCAGGGTAAATTTTATTTTAAAAAATAATGGATTGAGAGGTTGGAAGGAATAGCTTGTTTCACCTGTTTGTTAGACAAAGTCTGACCATACTTGCATGCCCTACAGCTTTTTTACCTTTTGGCAGCTTTAAAGCAACATATTTGTTATTCTTCAGCACAGAGCACATTTTTCTCATCCTAATCAGGTCCTTCCAGACTGTTTCTCAGTTTGCATTTAAACCTGTATATTTAGCAGATGTAACATGACACACAGGGAGAGTGTTGCTCCTACCATAATAAATCCTGTCTGAAGTGAGTATGTCAGGTGCAGTGCTCAGCCATGCCTGCTCAGCTCATCTGGAGTCAGAATATTCCACGTCTGTAAGGGCACAGAGGCCTTCAACTCATGACCTCACTGCTACTCCTGGGCTTTCTGAATTTATCAATATTTTACATGAATGGAAAATAGTGTAAGGCACCTTCTAAATTACAAAACCAGTGTGAAGTGGCATGCATAAAATGGAGTTCAATTTCACTTCCATAAATTATATTTTTAGATTTTTTTTTTCTGTACGTTTGCCAAATGAATAGTTATTCTGATGTTTATTTGACTTGCCTCTGAAGCATTTGGTAAAAAACACTACTCAAAGCTGTATCTTGGATTGAATGCAGTTTAAGACTGATCTGGCTTGGCAATTGTTCAACTAAGTTAGTAAAATGATATCAGTAAATTGCTTCTTAGCAATGTCTTAACCACTTCTCCTGTTCAATGTTTAAGTGGTAATTTCCTCATGGAAAGAATTTATTATTTATGATTTATTCTCTGTAAGTATTATGAAAAATGTGAGGCAACATCATTTCAGAGAAAAAAAGCTTCCATTTGTGGAAAATTATTTATATATGTGAGTCTGCAGGTGTTATGGATATGTCAATTCAAATTTTGTTATCACTTTTAGCTATTGTATTTGCAAGAAATACCATCCTGAAAAGTTGCTAGCCTTTTGCTAACCTAGTGGTGTTGGCAATTCTATCTCCATTAAAACAACTATTTGCTATTTAAGGGAGTAAGTTTATTATTATCCTTGAGCTATTTGTTTTTTTCTCATTTTCTTTCTTTGTCTCTACAACACAATCTGTGGCAGTGATCTGAAAACTAAATTGTCTGGAGCTTTGCAGCAGTCTCTTTATTATCAATTTATCACTTTATTAAGACTCAATTTTTTTTATCCTAATAAAAGCCATATTATTATGAGCATTACATTCAAGCCCTCTGTTTTGAAAAGGAAACAAACTTCTGCTTTATTTCTATGGTGTTAAATAATATTTTGTAATTCTTGTAATAGCAGTTGTGTTCTGTTCTAGCAGTTGTTTTGTAGTTCTTGCAATAGCAGTTGTGTTCTGTTCTAGCAGTTGTTTTGTAGTTCTTGCAATAGCAGTTGTGTTCTGTTCAGCAGTATGGAAGGAACCCCACTTAGCAGCCTTGCCTTGCACCTGTTAATTAATAAAACATGACTAGAATGTCTTTTTTTTTTAAGTCCCAGTAAACACCTTCCATCTCACTTCTGATTCTTTAATTTTGAGAGTGCATCCCTTCTGCATGTTTATCCTAAAGCCCCCTTTAAAAAGTAAAGGATAAAATGCATGTGAGCGTTTTATCTGTATGGCTTTCCTTTCTGTAGGATATTAGTATTTGTAATTAAAATAACTGTCATACAGTTTGTGACATTAAAAAGATTTATAGGAATTATGGCTTCCAAATGCTGGCTAGATTTCTAAATTCATATCAAATTACTGACAGTGATGGAGCAGCCAAGCACAGATCCTTGTGTGCTCCCATGTGTGCTCACAGTTTGCCATGTGTCCAGGAGATTTTCTCTGGAAGACTGATCTGCTTATAAAGAATATTGATATTACTTCCAGCACTTGCCAGGAAGACAATGTAATTACAGATTACCTGTAAGTTATGACACTGCAAATGGGCTGAGATGTGACTTTCTGGAGCTCATCTCATCTTGAAGAAATTGTGAGTCTGTTCACATGAGATTCTTGCTACCAGGTGCAAGTTGCAGAGCTTAAAAATTCTAATGAGAGAAGAGGATAATTTTAATTTTTGTGAGCTCTGAATATAGGTTAGAACAGGAAAGAAGGTGAAAGATAAATTTAGAATTAATGGTATCAGTCCATTTTAAAATTAAAAGATAGATTAGCCTGTTTTTTAGTTGGATAGAACTTTTCCATAATTTGTGAAGACATGGAAGGTCCTGAATTGTGCCTGTGGATTCAATGGTAGAACTCACAATTTGATTCCATTTTTAGCCCACAACAAAAGAAGCTGTCAGGGATTATTTTTCCTTCTACCGCTAAACAGTGTTGTAACATTGTTTGCAAGTAAAGGAGACTAAAATCTCACCATTTTTTGGGTTTTGCTCAGTGCTCACTGTAGTGCTGAAGTTGTGTGTGAAAGAGAGGGAGAATGTATTCCTAGGGAAAATTAATTTATGTTAGAAAAGCCTACAGAGAATAAATGCTAGGATCCTAGGGATAACAATGAAAAACTGTAGTTTGTCCTGTGAAAGAGAACTCAAGTAATAATCACACTAAATGCAGAGCACTCTGTGGATGCTGCAAGGAACATAATTTAAAGAGAACTGTGGGAAAATAGCAAACTAAGATGGGCCAATACACACAGCAGTGTTTGCTTTCTGTCTTGTTTTTTTAAAATAAAATTAAATATTGGACAATTGCTAATCACTGCAGCTTCCACAATATCTTTTCCCCCTTAAATTCTGGAAAAATAAGAAAAGAAGTTTTAGCTGAAATATTATTTGTACGAATTTTCTAACATCAACAGTGAAAAGAAGAATCAGGAAACTTAATAACTTGTCTGCTATGTGAGGTCTGGCAATCAGAGAATAGAGTAAGTGCTTGGCTAATTAACAGAGACCATGTTTCTTAAAAAATGTTTTGTATAAAGGGATTATATCTTCATATTAGTTGCAGGTTTCAAGAGGGACCTATATAAGCAGTCTGCAAATAATAATTTTATACGCCTGTCTGTGGGATTCTGGTTGAAACACCAAATTACACGAAGAAGCGAATTTAAATATTTGGATTAATTAGGCGAAGAGGAACTCAAACAGTTCTGAGACCTTGACATATTTAATTCAAATATTTTTTATATAACTAATTAGTGTCCACATTAACAAGAGGGAAGTACTGCCAAGTTATATTTTTGTCTACTGTTATTTTGCACAGAAAATGATGGTTAATTCGCTTGCTCAGTGGGTGAATCAGCATTTGTTGGCAGAGTGTCATTGGTAAATTGGGTTTGTTCAAGCTGGGATTCATTCTCTGTAAATAAGGCCATTAATGATTTTTTCTATAATGGACATGTCACAAAGAAAAAAAAAGTTATCATGAACCATAAATTCATTGCTGTTGTCTTTTAACTGATTGTGTGACCATCAGACTCCAGGTCTGCTTTTACAGCTGAGCCCAACAGAACTTACTGCTCCTGTCTCCCAAGGAAAGGAGTGATTTAAAGCTATTGATGAACGAGTTGATCATTAAAAATGACTGTGCCAAGTATTGTTCCATGCTATATATCAGTATTTGTTTCCACTAACGGAGTAAAAGGCATAAAACATCTCTACATTTACAGGTGGTGTTATTGACAGAAAGTTTTTTTCTTTATGAAGTAGAGCCAAAGATAAACTTCTGCATAGATGTTACTATCATTATTTCTTGATTAAAAAAAAAAATCTTACATTAATGTCAGCATCAATTCTTTTCTTCCAGCTTTATGTGTTTCTCATTTTTTAATACTGTCAGCATTAATAGTGAATCTCCTAGTGTCATATCAGTAGCTGTAAATAAGAAAAAATATGATTATTTGAATTGCTTGTTCTATGCCTTATAATAGAAGACTGTTGCTTCCCTGTGAGCTTTCAGTCTTTACCTATTATCACTTTTAGTGTGAGATTTGATTGCTGGTGTTGCTTTTTATATATGTGTTGAGAGCAAAGAAAAATCTCTGAGAATCGGAAGTTTATGCTGCAAACTTCTATCTCAGGAATTTCTAACTGTGTTAGAATAATGCTGTTAATATAATTGGCAATACTACATTGCCCGTTCTATTAAATTTATTAAGATGCTGCTTCTTCAGTGTGAAAAGTTTCATTTAATGAGGGATTTGATTTGCAGGAGGTTTTTTTGGATCTTCTGACCACTTTTTCCTTTTCATAAAATCCTACTTTCTCCTCTGTTACATATTTTTTCTCTCTTTGAAATGGAATAATTTTATTACATTAATGCCAATTCAGACAGTGAGTAATTTAACCTACTCATATATTATGATGTTATAAAAATACTGTTACTGTTAAATGTGGAGAAAAGAGTTTGTTAGCATAATGTAATAATGAACCAGTTTTCCAGCTGTGTTCTTACTGGAGAAAAATTCCTTTGTTCCTGTTGACTCAGGCTTTCTGATTCCATGTCCTTCCTTGTATTTACATAGATCTCTAATAGAGGTGTAAATGATGTATATTTTTAGAAAGGTTTTCTTGGTTTGAAATGTAAATGTCTATTTTAATAGCCCTTGTGGATGAAACTGAATAAATCTGAATATTTTATTACATTCAGGTGTGGTGCTGGAGTAGGTAAGTAATTCCTTTTCTGCTGCAAAAATGGGGTTTGGTTCAAGTTTTCTATTGTCCAATTGAGTTATTATTGAGTCTCATATAATGAGCTGTACCATGTAAGGGGACTGGTTTTTCCCTTCCAGACACTTTAGACAGACTACAGTATTAGAAAAATTAACTTCACTTCTGTCTAAATATTCTGTTTAATTTCATCTTGATTATTTTCCTTCAGAA